ATCTTAACACAACGTTGAAGCATGCCTTGTCATATCAAAATCGCTCATCAATCATAAATGTCATTGCATCACGAAGTATGAAGTGCTTAGCCTCCGTGCCTAAGTTACCCAAATACCTTCATCATTGAGTCAACAATTGAGATAGCGTAGGATGGGTTAATCCTTGCACCTTGAGAGATAGTATTAAATGACAATTGACTAAGCTCATTCAACATGCACCTTCAAAAACTTCGCTTCTTTATTTTTAACGTCTTTCTTTTTCGGGAGAAAGTTGGTACCCTCCACAAAAATGACGGAAAATTTTTGCTTTTTTGCATTTTTGAGTCGCACGATCACAATACAATGCACACACATGTCATGAGTCACACGTGTCCTTTCACTTTGAGCCGAGTCAACCTCGAGTCAATTACAGCGACTTAAGTTTATACCTTGAGTCATGTTAAGTCAATGAGTTGAGTCAAGCGACATTAAACCTTAGGTCAAACCTAAAGAAATATAAGCAAAGTCCTATAGTCAAAGATGTAAATGCAGGTGCATCCCAGCAAGCGAGGACATTCCCGGATTTTTTTTGAAAAAAACGCGAATATGATACACGAGATTCCTCCAAGATAAGAGGAGTTACATGGATCAGTAAATTAGAGATGAAGAGCTTTAATTTACAAAAGATTTGAGCGGATTTGATTGAAAGGAAACGACCAAGCTCAAGGTTCGGAGCAAAACCAAGCACCAGTGGCAGCAAGAGCATAATAGGGAAGACTCGACTCCAGCGCCAGACAACAACATCTGGCGTTTAGCAACAGATTTCAGTGCCTGGCACTAGATCTCAGCGTTTGGCGACAGAGCCAATTCTTGGTGCCATCAATATTGCAGCAGCGACAGAGCTCGAAGCCTCTCAGAATGGTTATTTCGACCTCATACAGCAATTTTGGGTTCCTTGGTACGCCAGTTAGCCCCTATAAGCAAATTGACATGATTAGTAGACGACTCGATTATAATCGTAGTAAGTGATTGACCTGACAAAAAATCGTCTCACTTAGCTTAAGCGCCTAAGCATTGGCTTATTACAAACACCAAGGCATCGATTCAAAAGCAATCGCATTCTTTTTAAACAACGATATTTCCAAATATGGATTGTCGCGCATTCTTCTTAAACGACAATTTTTCCAAAAATTGGATTGTCATCCCCAACTAACAATGTTTCCAAATATGGATTGTCGCGCATTTTCTTCAAACGACAATTTTTCCAAGATTGGATTGTCATCTCTGGCAAAGTTTCCAAGCGTGGATTGTCGTGCTCCTTCTCTATTTGGCAATTGTTTCCAAGTTTGGATTATTTTCATCGCTGGCAAGTTTTCCGAGATTGGGTTGTCATACACCCAGTTCCCTATGGCAAAATTTCCCAAAGTATTGTTGTAGGACTCTATTCATCATAAATTTCGGCAAAGGTTCCTCAATGTGGATTGTCATTCATTTCAGTAAGTGGCAAATTTTCCCGAAGTGGATTGTCGATTGACTCTTTTTGCAAATGTTCCAAGACACGGATTGTCAATTGTGGCAATATTTTCCTAAAAGGATTGTCGCATAGCATTGGAAAATTTCCAAGGTGGATTGCTTTCAAGAGTTATATTCCAAGATGTGGATTGTCGATTGTAGCAAAATTCTTATGACAGATTGTTACGAAGCATTGGCAACTTTTCCCAAAAATTGGATTTTGGCAAATTTTCCGAGATACGGATTTTCGCTTCATCGTGGCAACATTTCCAAGAATGGATTGTTACGAAGCACTGACAACTTTCCCTAAATCAGATTGTCATACATCATACAAGAAGTGTGTTGGCAACTATTCCCAAAGAAAAGAGGATTGTCATCACAGCAAAAGCACCGACATACTGGTTCACAAGTAGCAAAGCGCCGACGTAAGGGCATAGCAGCATTATATTAAGGATCAACAAGCAGTGATCTTTTCGAAGACTATGACAGCGGAAATTGGAGGCGGTTACAGGCGTAGTAGTCTTCAGGCGGTATTCTCTAGCTTGCGGAAGATCGTCACAACAAATCGATTACCTCCGGAGACATGTGCTTGACGGTGCAAGATACGCGTTTCTTAACTCTCTTATTTGTTTTAACTAACGCTAGTTTGCAGGTATCGGCGTTACAAGAATGATTTAGGATCGCAGAACGTTCTGAATCATTCTCCGTCCCTATCGATACTTTGACTTTTGTTTTCGAAACTTGCGTTTCTCCAAACTCAGTCAAAGTGGGGGCTTCTATAGACACCCATTTGCGTCTCCCCAAAACCAAACCCAGTGATGAGTAACATTCACGTCGAATCATAATCGAATGAAGTGAATGTGTGGAAAGTTTAGTGTTGCGGATAGTTTTAATTTCTTTTATCTTCTCTTTGCTTTTGAAAACCTATTTTAAGAAAATAGTCAATCCAGTTTGGTTGGTCCATGATATGGGTCCAATAGTAGTGTAGTTGGATAGGGATTGAAGAGAGATTTTGAACGATATATTATAAGCCCAATTCCGATGAATAATGAGGAAGTTATGGCCAAAATACTAAACTGGGCTCGGTTTGGTTTTTATATGCGGCCCAATGATATAGAGGAGGGCTTATTATTAATTATCATTCCTAAAGCTATTAGGATTCATTATAGTCTTCTAGAATACTCTACAAGGTTCTTTTAAATCCTAATGGAGTTAGGATTGATAATTATGTTTTAAAGAGTTTGAAATTGAATAAAACTACTCCTTTTTAGAATCCTTATTTTGTACGAAGTGGAATATATTCAGATTTTATTTTCGTGACTCATAATCTTAATCCAAATTTTATATGGTTGGATAGATCTTGAAATTATCTTTCAATGATATATTATAATATTAAATCCGAGTTGTAACGAAAAAGATATGAATGAGACATGAAACTCTATCCAAAACTGACACTCTTCCACTATTTCGGCCACATCTTTTTATCTACAAAAGATTTTCATCTGATTGTAATTGGGTTGGAAAGTAGACTTCAAGATCTTTTCAACGACATATTTTATGCCTTATTTGGACTTTCGGATCAAAATATATGATAAAAACAAAAACGCGTGAAACTGATTATTAGCGCTTGACGCTAAGCATTAGCGTCTGGCTCTAACCTTTAGCGCCTGGCGCTAATTTCCAGCGTCGACGCTAATCAAGTTTTATGCGCGTCAGAACTCTGTTTTGATGTTTTATCTTTTTGGCTGATTTTCTCTATAAATAGTCTCCTAAAAACTCCGTTTTGATTAACCAACTCTCATTAAGATTTTCTTGATTATTCTCTCTCGCTCTTTTCTAAACTAGCCTTCTCTCAAATACAAAATTCCGCATTCTCAAGACTTAGATACAACTAGCCATATTCGAAGATGCCTTCGCCCTAGACGTGAAAGGTTTAATTTTTGAGGGTTTGGTCCCAAATCTCTCTTTAAAATATTTAATTTAATTCAATTGTTTTATATTTTCCTTGAAGTTATTAATGTGTGTATTTTGTTATTAGAAAGAGATACGAGGCATCAAAGTAAGTACTTTAATGGTTTTTATTGATGTTATGATATAGGGTTCATGCTTAGGTTGTTATTATGATATTCCTAATATCATGTCTAGGGTAACTTTAATATTAAGTATGATTGTTATGATGTCTTCTATTTTTCTTTCCTAATATTCATGTTAGTATCATGTTAGGGCTAAGTATTTGATCTTTATTGTTTAGTGACATGCTAGAGTTTGTTATTAATCTTGTTAGTATCATGCCTAGGATCTTGCTATTATTATGATTTAACATAATTATGATTATTTTTATGATTATAATTATTATTATGATGATTATTATTTTTTATTATGATTATGTTGCTTGATATATTTTTATTTTTATTGCTTGATCACACCTTTTATGCATGTTTAAAGGGAATTGGTACTTGTAATCACGCTTAATAAGATAGTTAATAATCTTGTTTAGGGTTAATTTGATTATAATTCAAGTGATCGCCAATAATAGATTTATTTGTGCATTAATATTCAACCAACATAGATAAACAGGTTTAGGGTAATCCTATTGATTGTATGTTAGTTAGAAAGCGCACATGAATACGATCAGAATAAAGTAGAGGCCTATTATTAGGGCAGGTTCAATCTCTTTTAGGTTGGATTTGTACCTTCATCCCCGAACCCTATTTGGTTCAAGACCTTATGGAGTTGACGATCTCCTGGATCGTTAAGGGGTGTAAACTTCACCCCGTGAACGGTTTACAAGTTCCTAAAAAACTTGTTGGCGACTCTTTTACTCTATCTTCTTTCCCTTTGGACGCAACCGTACTTTAGTGTATGATCACAGTGGGGTTCAAGCTTCAATGCCCTTTTTGTCGGACTCTATTGACACATTTGAGTAGTATAACAAAGAACAAATATCTCCTGTACATTTGTTGCTCTCTAATTCCTTTAAATTATGTCATGTACATGTAGTAATTCTTGGTTTTATTGCTGTACTTGTTGCTTGTACATTTTACACCATTGTAAATTGATAGTTTCAACTGTCTTAATTACTATATAATTTTGTCATAATTTCTGTGCGGAGCTGCTGAGGTCTTGTTATGTACACAATAATGATGATTCTTGATTGATGGTGATGTATATATATACACACACACTTCCATATACCCCTGGTGCTGCTACACTCAGCAGTGGCGTTGCTGCACACAGTAGTGGTCCTTGCCATGGTTTGTTGCTGAAATATTTTTATTTACTTGTGCGATAATTTTATATTTTTATTTACTTTCAAAATTTTTTTCATACAGTTTTCCTTTACTTTGAATGTTTAATATATACTAGCCTAATTTAACAGATTAGTTTATTTACTTTAAGGATATTTTTATTTACCTTTAAGTAATTTTTCTTGACTATGAATGTTTTATATTCTAGCTCAATTTATTATGTTTTTTTTTTGACAAAAGAACTTACAAACAACAAACATACTAAAAACGGAAACAAAGTAAATCACGCCAACGTGCCATCCCTGCCAAACAATGAGCTTGAGTAACCGTAGATCTGGGAACCTTCTGAACATGACACACAACCAAAGCCCCAATAACTTCCAGAAGCTCCTGCTGAATCCAACAGACAGAAATATCCTTGGGAACCGGAGACCGAAGTGAATCCACTACCAAAGAGCAATTAGTAAGAATTTGTAAAGAGGAATACCCACGTTGCCTGGCATGGCGTAAAGCAAACAGACAAGTAATCATTTCAGACTGGAACGCAGAATTAGATTTACAAGCCTGCGCCCCACCCCCGAGAGGAACATTAGAAGCCACATCCAAGAATACCCATCCAGTACCCGCATTATGACTTTCAGACTTCCAGGCCCCATCAAAAGTAAGACTGACGGTATATACATCCGAAGCAATCCCTCTAAGAACTGTAGAAGACATAGGACAAGAAAACCCTGGAGGAAACGCAGGCGTAATATCATATCTGAACGACCTTGCCTCGGAACACCTGTCCACCCAACTAGAAGCTAGATCTATAATAGAATCAGGAGAATAAACCACAGAACGAAACCTCATAGAGTTCCGAGTAAGCCAGAGGGCCCATAACAGGCTTAAAAATCGATCTAGCATCAACCGGTCCTTATCATGAAGAAACTTAAAAAGAACCTCAGGAAACCATTCCTCAAAAGACTGATCCTGGGACATATTCAAGGTCGAACCACAAGGTTGGTCCTCCCATAAACTCCAAGTAAATGGACAATCTTGAAAAAGGTGAGAAAGTGTCTCCACATCCTGATGACATAATCCACATCTGGAATCCACAGGCAAACCCTTCCGAGCAAGTAACGAAGCAGAAGGCAACGCATTATGGATAATCTTCCAAGCAAACATTTTTCACTTCGGAAGTAAAGGCGAAGCCCAGAAATGCCTCCACCAACTTGAGTTAAGAACCAAAGGTGACCGCTGGTCACCATTCTCATAACATAAGGAGCATACATACGCCGTCTTCGTGGAGAACCTCCCATCCTTGGTAAATTTCCAGTAAACAAAATCATCGATTCTTTCCTTGGATCGTTCAAGACCCAAAATAAGGCCAGCCGTACAAGGAGGGAATAACTGATGAATCATACTTGTATTCCATGCGTTCGAACGCACATTAATTAGATCAGAAACAAAGGATGGGGCACCCATCCTGCTAACAGAATCCTTAAACTGAACCTGAACCCCAGGCACCCAACTATCATCAAGAATTCGAATGTTGGAACCAGACCCCACCTTCCACATCAAACCATGACGAAGGGTCTGAAAACCCTGTAACACACTACGACAACCCCAAGACGGTCTGACCATCCTGGCAGTACCATGAGAAGGCAGCAAAACCGGATACTTTGCTCGGTACACCCTGAAACGAGAAGCTGAGAATTATGCATAAGCCGCCAAGACTGCTTAGCAAGGAGAGCATCATTAAAGCAACTAAATTTCCGAATACCCAAATCTCCCAGCCCTCGAGACAAATAAAGAGTAGATGAAGGAGATAACGCTACTCCCTTAGAGGAAGGAGAAGAGCGCCACCAAAAACGAGCTAGTAGATTATTATCAAGCTGATTACAAACCGTAGCAGGTACTTTAAACACCGAGAGGATATGGTTGAAGGAAGCGACACATATAGAATTGATAATAACCAACTTTGCAGCCGCTGAAAGACGCAAAGAAGCAAAGGATGACAGGCGTTGAACAAGTTTATCAACCATAGGTTGGAAAACCTGACACTTTCCCCTGCAGCTCAATTTATTATGTTGAATAAGTTTGCATGACTTGTTTTCATTTTTAGAATTGGTACTACATAAACATGTTAATAACACTAATCTACTAGCTCAATTAGTAGAGCATTGTGCAACTGCACAAAGGATGTGGGTTCGAATCCCACGTAGGTTTAATGATCCCACATAACTTGAAATAATTTTTTAGTTATTTTTTGGCCTTTACTTTTGTGACATTTTAAATAACTTTAAAGTGTTTCATGTTTACTTTAAGTTGGAGGAAGAAATAATAGAGCTAAAGCTAATTCTCTAATAAATCTAATTGGTACTTTAAGGATATTTGATTTACTTTTTAGCGTTTTTTTTATTTAATTTAGACATAATTTGCTCCAATTTTGTTTTTTTTTTCAAGAAATTTTGAGGTATAAATAGAGTTGAGGTTGGGTCCTCAGCCAATCTTTAAAAAAGATGACAACATTTTTCCCCACTACAAAACTTGGAAAAGATACCCTTAATTAAAGACCCGTTATTTAACTAACGGGTCTATTTGATATAACAAATCCAATAATAATAATAACAGGTCTCTTATGTGTATGAATTTTGGTGCAAGAAAAAAAAAAGAGATAAGAGACCCGTTATCAAACCTAACGAGTTTCTCTATTATATTAGGTCCTACATGTTAAATGGTGGGAGCAAAATGAGAGTAATAAGAGCATCATTAGTATTGGGGATACTTATATCCTTTCCCGGTTTCTCTCTCCTTTCCTACACTTGACACATCACTTTCTCTTTCCTCCACATCACTTCCCACTATTTCCATCCTTTTACTCATCCTTTCCCTTAAAAATTTCCAACATCAATGAGTATCCTTTCCCACTTTCTCTCTCCTACTTACATATACCCCACCATTTATTCCTTTTTCAAATTACATATATTTATTAATATACTTAATTATTATTATTGTTGAAAATGTTGTTAATAATAATTAATAATAGATCGTTCTATTAACCGACACATTAATTAAACGAGACGAATTCAAAAACATAAAATTCATTGATTAAAAACATGAAATACATTGATTAAACGACACGAATAAAAAAAACATGAATTACGTTGATAAAAATAGCAAAGAAAATAACAAACATAAGTTTAAAAATAACTGAAATGTTTAATTTTCATCGGACCTCATAGACTGTGCCCATAAATGTTCGATCAAGTCGTTCTTCAAAGCCATATGGACGTCTCTATCACAAATTTCCCCTCTCGAAGCTATCAATCTACCGAAATTATCTGGATCATACTGTCCGGGAGTTACGGTGAATGTTGTTGCATTCCTAGTTGAGGACGACCCCGACATATTCTCAGGCTGTTCATCGGCAAACTCGAGTGGATCCTTATAATTTAAATATGTATCACGCTCGTCTTCAACAATCATGTTGTGGATAATGATGCAAGTCATCATAATTTTCCACAACAGATCTACACTCCATGCCAAAGCAGGCTTCCTGATTATTGCGAAACGAGCTTGTAACACACCAAAAGCACGCTCAACATCCTTTCTCGCACTGGTTGTGAATTTCTGCCCATAACCCGCTTCTCTTGGTCTTGGTTCCCCTCTCCACATCGCCTCCTGCATTTATATAGGTTGATACAAGAGCTTTGTCTTCGGCGATACTCCATGCTCGGTTTTTCCTTTGTGCAGATGTATTGAGTTGCACTTCTGGAACAATTTCGACTTCAGCATTGTCAATCTCTTCAAGATGTTGTGCTCCCGCTAATTCTTCAACATGTTCACCACTTAACTCTATTGGAGTAGCATTGCTACTACAAACTCCACCTGGAGATTGATTCATATTTTGAGTTAAATGTTCTGATATAGGGAAAAAAGGGGTATTACCAAAAGCTTGTTGATAGGATTGGGAATTATGAGGAAAATTTGGTTGTATTGGTGGAATATTATTGAAATTTGTTGGTCTTGGTTGACTACTACACCATTGAAAAAATGCAGCTTGAATTTGAGGATTACTCAACAGATTAGGGTCAACAGGAGGATTAGATTGGTTAAATTGAAAGTTTGAATTGTTAGGAAAATTCGGGTTACGACCGTAATTAGAATTATTACGATCCATATTGAAGACTCTAAGAAATTGGAAGTGAAATGGAGAAAAATAAACTTGAAAATATGGAGATTAGAATAATTTTGTGTTTAAGAGTATTGTACAAGTGAAACTGAAATTTTGTGAAAATATAGCAAATTTATACTCATTTTATAGACAAAAAAATTTTATGACCGTTGGTGTTTTCGGATTTCAAAAATAAGTTACCGTTTGCAAATTATAGCCGTTATAATATTTTGGAGCAAAAAAAAATCAAAGCCAATAAGATGCTGCCACTTGTCGGAATGAAGTATGACCAAAAATTGAAAAAAAAAAGGAACTAGCCGTTGGAGATTGCAGCACGCGTGAGTTTTTGTATATTTTAATGTGTAATTTTGCACAAGGAACGAGGTAAGCTCCCTTTTACCAGAAAGGAAATGGGTCATTCCTCTTTTTAAGAGGATCCTTTCCCAACACACAACATTCATCAGGATTGACTAAAGGGTCCTAAAAGGATTGGGAAAGGTCCCGATGCTGCTGCTCTAAGAGACCCGTTGTCTAAATTAACGGATCTTTTACCTTTAATCTTGACTGCAGCAACGATTATTGCATTCATCTTCTCTCTTTAAAACCTCCGCCTATCCCCAATCCCAAATCAAAACCCTCATCCTCTCTTCTTTATGAATGAGCCGTCACTTACTCCAACCCCAAAGTAAAACCCTCATCCTCAATTTTTTTTTATGAAAGTCTCCTTTAATCAAGTGTTCGGCCGAAGAAAAATCAAACAAAATCCAATACCATTAAATTGGATCTATATCACACATTAAAATTAACCCGAAACTTTTAATTTTTTCTGCATTCTGCTCCTTAATTTACCTTCAACTTTAATGTATGATATAGATCCAATTCATCAGCCCACGTTGTTATAGAATTAATTTCCAAGCAATTAAGAAGAAAGAGAACAACAATGAAGGCAAATTAGAGTAGAAAAAGGAAGAAATTGGTACTACAGGTGGATAAAAGACAACACACAATGTATTTTGGCTGCTTCAAGTCGATGGAGATCGTCATGGTATCCTACCCTTTGAATTGCTCCTAATTGAAGGTATACTTCAATTCTTCAACGGTAGAGAGATAATGAACCTCCTATGATAATAGTCTAATAGATCTGGAATTATGAATAATTGTTGTCTGATTAATGATCTAACTTCAGATCCAAATTGAGGTAATCTATCTAAAAATTTATTTTTTAATATCAGAATTTGTCTAGATATTTATATATTAATTGCGTTGTTATTGAACTGTTGATTGTATTTTATACTTTTCTTAACAAATTTATTCACCAAATGTTATGCTTTTTTTTTTTTTTCTTTTTTTGAGGGATAACTGAATGTTATTGTTGAGTACGAAGTATATCAATTTTTTGTGCTATAAATTGTAGTAGTCGCTTGTGATGTTGTGATTTGTTTCAATTCAATAACATGTGGTTGTATTTAATTTTTCTTTTTTATTTTTATTTTTATTATATGTGTTCTTAAATAAGTTTTCTAGTAGAATTCTTATAATGATTAATTATTTTGTTTTAATTTGTTTTGTCAGGTTTACGTGACTGAATTCTCAAATAAAGGAGAAAGAAAATGGAGTACTCAAGCCTTGTTGATGTAATTATAATTGTAATTAAATTTCACTAACTTAAAATAATTTTTTTCGTTGTAATTGTATGTCAGGATGATTATTTGTATCACTTCAATTTTAATTTAACCCATTGTTATTTTCAATGGTAGAGTGTAACTTACAATTTTTTATTTTTCCTCCATTTTTATTAACATGAAAACAAAATTTTCAAAATTTAAATGCAAAGCTGCCAAACCACATAAAATAAAGCAAAAATAATTATTTTTTTTAAAAACAAGAGAACAAAAAGACCCGGTATGTGAAATGATAGGTCTGTTTGATAACACTAAACATCTAAACAGACCCCATATCTTAAATAACAGGTCCCTTTTTCTTCTAAATTATTTATTTTATAAGTAACATAACAGACCCGTTATCAAACATAACGGGTCTTTTTGACCTTATAAACAGACCCTCTCTAATGAACGAGTCTCTTTATCAAAGAGACCCGTTATGAAGCGGTCTGTTAGGCATATTTTAACGGGCCTCTTCGCCAATTTTTGTAGTAGTGTTTGAAGTTTTTCGATTTAATGAAAAGTCGAGGCCTCCAAACCCAATTTATTGTTTGTATATTTTAGAGCTAATTTGATTTACATTTTAGTTTTTTTAATATACTTTTGAGATGTTTTGAATTACTTTAGAATGTTTTGTATTTACTTTTAGAGGTAAGTTATGTAGGAATCGAACCTACATCTCTATGCATCCGCATAGTGCTCTACCACTTGAGCTAATAGGTTTACTTTAGAGTTTTTTTTGTTCACTTTAAATACTTTTTTATTTGCTTTAGAAAATTGATATAGGAATCTACATTTTCCAACCTTATTCATCTTTTGTATTCTTAAACCCAATGTAAACAAAGATGAGCTATTAATAGCCACACTAACTCAGTCCAACTTCATTCATATACTTAAATCACGCATATACATATCATAAAGTATAACATAAGCATAATGATTGATATTAATAAGAATAATGAAAATAATGAAGCAAAAAGGAATAGACTCATGAGGGAATTTGCATCATCTTCTAGGGTTCTACAAATCACATAAATGTAATATCTTCAATCACTATGTTTGTTGAGAATCTGCTAGGAGGCTCCAACCATATAGCCTTGACAAATTCAAGAGTATCACATTTTAACTCAATGTGTTTAAATCCAAGCCTCTTAGCAAGCCTCACTGGCTCACTCCCATGCTTAGCTTGCTGCTAGAGCCTTAACGAGCTTCACATATTCAACAGCCACATCAAGCAGCTTCTCCTCCAAATTCCGGATGCAGACCCCATCCCCACGCCAATCTCCTCCATAACTGCAGCATTTGTGTTCACTCTCACCCTCCCATCAGACGGGTGCACCCATTTCTCACGAGATAAAACAAATCATTCCCCTGTACTCACCTAAACAGACCCAGCTCCCTCTAAGACAACAAATGCATAGAGTTTGAAGTCTTCCAACTATGTTTACTTTTGTTAACATATGAGTCTAACTGGTTTACTTTTATTAACTTTCAATCTACTTTTTAATCAAGAGAAAAAGCAAACTTTTAAGACTAATTGATTTATTTTTAACAAACTTCTATTTACTTTAAGAAATAGAAAATTACAAGAAGCAATATTAATTTTTTATCAGCATAAGATCATATCCTTCAAATATAGTAGAAAATTCATATAGACTATGCATCACTTCTTTTCACCTCAGTAAAGATTCTAGCAGCATATGAATTACAGTCATAGACATACCTGGTGAAACCTGTAGTTAGCATTATAGGATCGTGTGTTGACGGCTCATTAATGACATTATTCCTGCTAGTCCAAGAGGACCAACATAACTTTGCAAACATTGAAATCTCATCCCCTGATAGTCTCTCTGCCACCCAGCTAAGTCAATCCTGAAACGAAGAGTTGGGAGCTTTAGATTGCAGTAGAATCATCCTATTTTACTATCCGGACCATGGTTTTAACATCAATTGCTAGTTTGCTACTAGGCCTAATACATATGACCTTACTTAAAAAGAGCACTCTCAATTTCTTCAGTTGTGACTGGTTGACAGAGAGAGCTCCTGGCTACTTGAAGAATATATATGTATTTCCCATTTAATTCTAAACCATGAATTTCTAATTTTCGAACATAATAACATAAAATCAATTAAAATCATAAAACCAAAAAATTAACCAAGAAAATGGAAAAAAAAAAACCTGGTAAAGCAGACGTCAAAGGAATCATCAAGAAGCATCTGGCGAGAAGTTTCAGCTTGAGCTTCGCCCTTAGTAGTAACAACAGAGAAATTCGAGCTACCTTGAAATCTTCCCTCAACAATCCACGTACTCTGTCCATGTCTCACCAACACCACAAGAAACAAAATTGCACCTGCCACATCCATAAAAGGACCATATATATCTATTTTTTAAAAAATTGATTAACTAATAGGATTCATTGAGGCATTTTGTCAAACACTTAGTGTGCATTAAGAAATCAACAACAATAATTGAATAATCAAAATTCACTACTACATAAATACCTTTAAAAGTCGCCCTTTTAGAGTCACATGTTAAAAATATGTTACACATTAGCCTATGGAGTCACCCCGTATAGATTAGGCGAGACTATAGGTAGTATAATAAGTTCAGAAAAAATGTAAAGTGTCACTTGATTATTATTGTGTGACTCATAAATGTTTGGAGTCGCCTAATATAAATTAAGTGATGCGTAAGGTTGTTGTATGAATATAGCTATTGAGTCTAATACATAGCCTAAAATTAATATCTGAATCATAAGCTTTACGAGTCACTCATTATAAATTAGGCGACACATTAGGTCGTATTAGAAATTATGAAAATAAGTCTAAAGTGTCCTATGTTCTTGGTATGTGACTCGTAAACCTTTGAAGTCGCCTCTTATAAATAACGTGATGCGTAAGGTTTGAATATGAATTTATCTAGATATTTTATTAGCTCGTCCCTTAATTAGTGTATGATACTATATTTTAAGAGTTACTTGTCTTGTATATATGAGTAACATAAATCAATGCATAAGGTTTCATTTTACATTTGAATAGTAAAATTGTTATTAGATGTCACTTCCTCCACTTTTAGATAATTGAAACTATCAAACTTGACTGTCAATACATGCTGGTTTAATCTTATATCTATAATAAAAAATGTTGATATTATGAAAGTTTATATTAATTACTATTTCACAATATATTTCATAAAAATATTTGTTTTTTTACACGTTATTAAAAAAACGATGGTCAAACTTAGTATATGAATGGTGAAAAAAGTCAAAAGTGTTAATTATTTATGAACGGAATGTGTAACATGCGACCAATAAATATTTTGAGTCATATAATACGGAGTAACATTTTAAGTTATCTACTATTGAGTACTCCGTCCGTCCCTTATTTTTGCCCTAATTGCTACATTAAAATCTTATACTACTAAGAGATTAAGTAATGCAATTGTAATTATAAAAAAAAAAAAAAGCCATTAGAATCTTATATAGAAAAAAAATAAATAAACTAACTAAATTCATATACTACTAAAAGAAAGATTACTACGTTTTTTTGATAAAAAAAGAAAAAAAAAGGTAAAAGAGTACTGTATTTTTTTTAATCAAGAAATAAAGTAAAGAAAGTTCAAAACCCTTGAAAACTAAACCATCCATATTCATCTTCATTAACAATGTTGTGCTTTCCCACGCAAACCAAACCCCTAAAACTTGATTCCTAATCAAACCCCAGTATCTAAAAATTTGTAGTGAAATTCAATAATTTTCCTCACAATTTGAAAGAAAGAGTTTGTTTTTTCTTAGAAAGGGGGAGTATTTATTGCTTCTCCTAACCTTTAAAGAGTAAAAAAAACTCGCATCACGACAAAAGAGAAGCACTACTACGACGGCGGCAAACGCTACTCGGCGGAGAAGCGACAGAGCATCTAATATTAAGTCTCAACCCCAGCAACCCAATTTTCTGGCTTAATTGTGAAAATTTCGGCGGTGGGTCTCATCTAATATTTTGTAGAAGCTTCAAATTTGAAGGTAAGCATCTGATAAACCATAATTTCATCTATTTATTCATGGGTTATTATAATTTTGGTGTTTTAGTTTATCTAAATTTATTGTCTTGTTATTTAAATTATGCTGAATTCGTTTTTTGGGGATCTTATGCTTAATTGATTTTCTACATTTTTGGGGTTTTTTTTTATAAAGTACGATTATGTTCATATGTTGGACCATTGCATGTTGATTATTGATGTGATTTGTTAATCTTGGACTTAATTTTCTTTTTGTATTCCACTAGAAACTTATAAAATTCTATTAAAAAAAAAACTTATAAAATTAAGAAAGATGAAGATTATGCATCCCGTATCAGTTTAACATCTTTTAAAATCGATTTTTCAATTAATTTATTTATTAGTCACGTGAATATTGGCTATATAGATGCTCTCGTATCAATTATATAATTTATTGATAAAACTATTTTGATTCTGATGCATGTATGGTAGACACTACGATGTACTCTTATGCTATTACATACTTTGCTACTGTAGACACCCATTTATATCTCCCCAAAACCAAATCCAGTGATGAGTACTTTTCACGTCGAATCGTAATCGAATGAAGTAAAAGTGTGGAAAGTTTAGTGTTGCGGATAGTTTTAATTTCTTTTCTCTTCTCTCTGTTTTTTGAAAACCTTATTTTAAGAAAACAACCAATCCAGTTTGGTTGATCCTTGATATGGGTCCAATAGTAGTGTAGTTGGAAGGGGCTTGAAAAAAGCTTTCCAACGATATATTATAAGCCCAATTCCGATGAATATTGAAGAAGTTATGGCCAAATTACTAAACTGGGCTGGTTTGAGTCTTATATGCGGCCCAATGATCTAGAGGAGGGCCTAATATGAATTTATCATTCCTAATGCAATTAGGAATGATTTTAGTTTTCTAGAAGGCTCTTTTCATTCCTAATTCAATTAGCATTGATAAATTGACTTTTGTTGACTTTTTAGAGTTTTAATCAGAATCAAAAAACGTTTTTTTTGAGGAAAATACGATTTTATCCTCCTATACGACAATTTCTATATGATTTTAAGAAAACGCGTAAATTTCTGAGTCAGCGCCAAACGTCAGCTGTAGCGCCTGACGCAACGCTTGGCGCCTGGCGCTAAGGTCAGCGTTTGGCGCTAACTTGGCTTTTTTGCGTCACAACTCTGTTTTCGATGTTTTATCTTTTTGGCTGATTTTCTCTATAAATAACGTGTTAAAAATTCCGTTTTCATTCACCAACTCTCATCAAGATTTTCTTGATTATTCTCTCTCTCTCTCTTTTCTAAACTAGCCTTCTCTCAAATATTAAAATTCCGCATTCATTAGATTTAGAAACACCTAGCCAAATTCAAAATTGCCTTCGCCCTAGACGTGAAAGGTTTAATTTATGAGGGTTTGGTTCCAAATCTCTCTTTCAACTATTTAATTTAATTGTTTTGTTTCTTATTTTCTTTGAAGTTACTAACGTGTGTATTTTGTTATTAGAAAGAGGTACGAGGTATCAAAGTAAGTATTTTAATGGTTTTTATTGATGTTATGATATAGAGTTCATGCTTAGGTTGTTATTATGATATTCCTAGTATCGTGTCTAGGGTAAATTTAATATCAAGTATGATTGTTATAATGCTTCCTATATTCTTCCTAATATTTATGATTGTTAGCATCATGTTAAGGCTAAAGCTTTGATTTTTATTGTTTTGTGACATGCTAAGGTTTGTTATTAATCTTGTTAGTATCATGTCTAGGATCTTACTATTATTATGCTTTATTATGATTATGATTATGATTATTTTTTAATTATTATTATTATGATTATTATAATTGTTATGATTATGATTATAATTTTTATATTGTGATTATTATTATGTTGGTTGATTTTTTATTGCTTGATCACGCCTTTTATGCATGTTTAAAGGGAATTGATATTTGTAATCACGCTTAATAAGATAATTAATAATCTTGTTTAGGGTTAATTTGATTATAATTCAAGTGATCGCCAATAATAGTTTTGTTTGTGTATTAATAATCAACCAAGATAGATAAACAAGTTTAGGGTTAATCTTATTGATTGTATGTTAGTCAAAAAGCGCACATGAATACGATCAGAATAAAGTAGAGGCCTATTATTAGGGCAGGTTCAATCTCTTTTAGGTTGGATTTGTACCTTCATCCCCGAACCCTATTTGGTTCAAGACCTTATGGAGTTGACGATCTCTTGGATCGTTAAGGGGTGTAACCTTCACCTCGTGAACGGTTTACAAATTCCTAAAAAACTTGTTGGCGACTCTTTTACTCTATCTTCTTTCCCTTTGGACGCCACCGTACCTTAGTGTATGATCACAGTGGGGTTCAAGCTAGAGGTTAATGCTTGAAATATTCCCTACAGTTTTTGGCGACTCCACTGGGGAGGATTTCTATTTTAATTCCTAAAATTTATTTTGGCAATGATTTAGAATGAGTGGATGAGACTCGAAACGTTCTAAGTATTTCATGTGTGTAATTTTGATTAACATTATTGTCATATGCATATAAAAGATCTCATTGGAAAGACCATCCATAATGAGTTAAAACATAAGATTTTACACGTAGGAAATTTGAGAAATATCTTTCACAACTAGGACCGAAATAACACTGCGCGAAACTGGAAAATTTTATCGAGCACAGAAAGCTGCTGAGGCATGTAGGAATTAGCGTCATCGACCAGAGTATTAGCGCCAGAATTTTAACTGTAGAGTCAGATGATAGTTTTGTCGCCAGGCTCTACGCTAAAACCTGGCGCCAATCTCTGTTTGCTGACGCCAAATTCTTCCAATACCGAGCCAGAAATATGCGTTCTAATTTCGACCAGTTTTTCGCATTGTTTGCTCGATCCTATTTCCTGATTGACTTTTTTTTTCTCACTTTTCTGAAACCCATATGCGTTCTACATATGGACATAACCCTTTGGGAATTCATGCTCCATCTACCTGATTGAACGCTCAGAGCAACAAAGGGTACATCCGAGATTGTTGAATTCACCAAACCATGGAAGCGAGTTTCTCCTAAAACTCGCGGTACCCCATCCACTCGCGCCAACCTTTCACGGTTAAGCTTCCGCGCGGTGCATTTGGACAATTAACCATGGATCCTCTATTGACTAAACCATATCCCAAACTTTAGAGAACTAGAGCCATTGTTAGGTTGCAAACTCATTGCATCATATTGTGCCTACTTGACTAATTGTGCATTATTTGTTGTGCATATACTATGTTTTCTTAAACGTTTGTTTGACTTGTGTTAAGATTAAATAAATTAATGACTTAAATAACTTTGCCTAATTAATTAATTAATTTGAGTAAATAAAGTCTAATATTTTAATCAGAATTGACCTAGTACGACTTTAGGCATACCCCTGTGATTAATAACATCGAAAACAGTTCCAGTTGAAGCTCCAGCAACGGCGCCAAAGTCTGGACTGTAGCGCCACTCTGTGGAGTGCGGCGCCTGACGACAGCTGGCGCTACATTACAAAGAGAGGCGCCAGTCCTGTCGTTTTGACGACACTTCGGATTATTGGTCGAGTCATCACCTAGTGTCTAATTAACCGGTTTGCTAATTAATTCGGTTAAATTTACCGCTATTAATACTTTATTAAGTCATTAATTGAGTTTAGGCACTAAGTCCCATGGTCTTACAC